TGAGTAATATCAAGAAAATTACGAGAATGCCAATCAAGTATAATTCTTTTAAGTGTATTGCAATTTGCCATAATGAGGCCAGATAATAATGTAATAGGGATTGCTCTATCATAAATTTCATAAGTACCATAAGAATATTCTAAAGATGTTAAGTTTGAAAAAGCAGTAGCGAGAGGAAAAAATGCGGAGGAGTTGAGGCCTTCACAGTGTTTAAACTTCAATTTGTTGATTTTTATACACTGAGCTAACACATTGATAGCACTGCTATTTAATTGACACATAGCATAATTAAAAAATTTTGTCTTGCTTAAGTTACGGTCACAATGCATGTCTTCAAGTGCTAGACTTTTAAGCGAGTGTGTTTGATTCATTAGAGCCTGGACAGGAAATGATGCAAAATTATTACTATTAATCAGTGAGAACTTTTTTAAATGATTTTGTGAACGAATGAGAGCCGCCAAAGCTATCCCTTCATTCTTATAACAAATACTGATTTTAAGGTTTTCAATATTATGACATTCCTCCGCTATTGCATTAAAAAGTTGTGTTTTTTCCATGGGCCATTGATAGCTGCAATTAAAATAATTCAGTCTACTAAATATAGAAATGCATTCAGAAAAATGTGGAAGAACAGAATATCCTATATTATCTAGGTTTTCAGGATAATGATTAAGACGGTTATAAATATTAAATCGGCGTAATTTTACACTATTCATAGTAAGTAATTTAAATAATTCAATTATAATATCATTACAGCAATTGTTTGCTATGGCAGCATTAAGGAATTGGTCATACGAAAATTCTTTCAGAAATGACGGATAGTTAAAAAAAAGAGGTCTAGTAATCGACAACCCGATTCTTCCATTATATCCCAATTTGAGAAAGGTACTATCTGGTATAAGTGCAAGATAGGTTTGGATCACTTTGGAAGATGGAATATTCTTGCCATTAATCTTGAAGGGTGCTTCCCATAAAATTGGAACTGCACAAGTAGCCCAACGTTTATTAACCAAGAGACAAGAATGTAAATCTTTATTAGTTTGAAGGAATCTAAAAATAGTATCAAAATGTTCTGGTGCAAAATTTTGATCCATTATTGTTAAGAAATTATTCAAAATGTTTAGAAATATTTGTACGTAGTAATAATTTCTAAACTACAATTAAGTGCAAAGTATGTGCACTGATTTAGAAAATTTTTTGACATCGAAATTATTATACGTACGGTGCAGGAAATCTAAAAACATCAGTCACTTTATATAGAACAAAAAACGGCCAGCACATTGAAGATAAGCTAAATTCAGTAGCGGCTTATTTTAAGTTTCAGCTGTATGCATAAAATAGCTCCTATTAAGTACATATTATTCTTGGCGCATTATTTCTATGCCCATCACTCTATTGAGTTTGATAATTTAAGAAATTTATTTTCACTGAGCCACAGTTTATGCATCATCTTAAAATGGAGATTGAGGTTTTTTATTTCCTGCACCGTAGCTGGGTATGAGGTGTAACGATTGTGTGATTATTCATATGTAAACTTAGTAACGTTACCAAAATTCAGCAAATTACATAGTACATCCAATCAAAATTCGCTGTTTTGTGCAAGTATGATAAATTAAGGGTTAAAATTGGTATTAATGGTGTTTCATAGTGCGCAGAAGCCTGGTTTTTAGTTGAAATTTGAGTTACAGGCGATTTTTTAATAGTTAGATGTACTCATATCAATTTGCTAAACTTTGATGAGCCCACCAATCTATTATCGTTGCCCGCTTGCAGTTTTAGATATCACTTGATTTAATATGACATCCTTAATACTAGAAGTGTAGTGAAGCTCAATGTATGGTTTATAGCCAACTGACTGTATGCAAAACCCTGCACGTTATTGGTATATTGCGTTGTGCGGGGAAGTAAGAACTCATACCTGAAGAATTACGAAACCTTTCGTCACTGACGAATGATGAAACAGTTTCGTCAGGCAATGTTGAATTAACGAAAACTCATGACGAATCATAACAAGTATGAAAAATTGAAAACTAATTAATAGAAATAAATTAGTCCAAGTGAATTTAATTTTTTGTTCATTAGTAGTTTATATTTTTTTTAACATATTTATCTGACATTATCCAATGATTTGCTTCACTCTCCCGGATATGTCTGATAGGTCTGATGAAGAAGGGAACGATGAAATTTCGTGATGAAATAATAGCAATTTCGAAAAATTTAAGATATATAATATCCAGAGGTCGTTATAAAGGAGCTTGTTGAAAGGTAGACAACTGCATTTTATATTTCATTGGTCAAATTAATTTGTCAAAAGTTTCGTCAATCAGTTTCGTCAATCGTCAGTAGTTTTGTTAAATTGTCAAATTTGATCAGATGAATCCATTGACGAAACTATTTCTTCAATGCCAAAATAGTTTATCATTACGGGCAACCCATGATGGTCAGATATAATGTAACATCACACGTGAAATGTCTTGTTACATATAACAATAAATGTATTGAACAATTGTTATTGTTTTCTTCTTGGGCAAAATAACTATACAATTCACGTTGAATGATTTTATTTCCTGATTAATGGAAACTTTTTATAGGAAATAAATACCGAATACTAAGTAAAGTTCTTTTTTCGCATAAATGTATCTTATAGATTTATTTCTAACGTTTGTATATGTGAATATTGGGAATAATAATTCGTTATTATAGTTATCTTTATTATTTTTACATTTCATTTATTATTAAAGATTTCTTTGCTCTTTGTACAAGGTTTACATTATATTTTCCTCTTTGGAAATTATCAAACGCGTGCAATTCAGAGATAATGACTAGGTTTTAAAATTTTTGACCGAAACAAACTCTGTAATGGCCTCTGATGTTCTGAAATATAATAACCTAAATAAAAGAGAAATGCCGTACTTAATTATTTAAGCAAATATTATTAATTGGTTAAAGCTGAGATGTCATATTTCAAGTCTTTCATTAGGTAAGGTGATTGTTTGGATATGACATTATCTAATGCATTTTTTAATAAAATAGATGAAGCGAAAAATGTTAAAGTAAATTATTTCTTTAAATTTGTTCTTTTTTCTTATTAACCAAAAAAAATAAAAACAAAAAATATACTTTAAAAAAAAAATAGCCAATCTACAGAAATATCGTCCATGGTTTTGGGCTATTCCAAGTATACTGTCGTAAGCGTTTTTCTTGAACCCTATCAATATCATCTATTATTATAGCTGATTCATTCAGCAAGGTATTAATGTGTCAAAAATTTTTAGCATTAAACTCTTGCAAATGCATTGCGAATTTACATCCTGCTTAAAAATTTCTCTATCTAAATTTTTTTTTGATATTTTGGTGAAACTTGCTAATCGATGTAGTAGTTTGTTGATTAATGTGATCCAACGATGAATCGGCTATCCCGCTTATAACCTGTACTCAAGTTGCAAAAATTGAAGTATCGATCATTATAATGTTAGATAACTTGGTAAAACTAAATACGAAATTTGGGGCTAAAATTTATTCATATGTATCATTGGGGTGACACCAATGAGAAAACCATATAAATTAATATGATCTAAGTCTGGTTTTCCCTTGGCGTCATCGATTTATTAATAAAGTGAAATATAGCATTATCAATAAAGTTATATATTTACTCGATTGCTTGAATTATTTTCAATTTTTAGATTTTCTTGAGTTTCCGTAAAGCATTGTGCTTTATTATGTGGTTCGTGAAATTTCCAGAATGGATATATATGTCGTCTTTCGAATTCATTATAAATAAGGTGTTGAAATTCCTAACCAGATTGTTGAGCTAAGTGTTTACAAATCAAAAAACGACTGAATTACAACTGTAAACATCTATGAAATGCTGTTTTTTCAACAACGCTCAAAATCTTTCCACCATTGAGTATCAATACACCAGTAAGTGACTAATTCAGACGATTTTTTTGGTCTATAATTAATTTCTCAGAAATAATATAAACCACAAAATCTAATCTTGGCCGATTAATAGTCATGTTTCAAGACTTTCTAGTGTCCTTCGACTATCATTGTTATTTTACCTTATGGAATTTCTTGTCGTCCAGTGCGTGCACAATAATTATATTGACTTTGAGAGCACCATGATAAGTATAGGTAGTTCCATAATGGTGGAAGATTATTATTATAACAATAATCATATATTTCTTTAATATATAGGTTCCATATTTCATTTGCTACAAGAAATCTTCCTGAATCCGAATTAAGGTATGCATATTGAAATGCTTTTATACAATAATCTGTATTTCTTTTTGTTGCTTTGGGATGTATATTTCTATGGATGGCTAACGTTTGGGAAAAACCCAGAATGAATAAATAAAAAATGTTAGTCATTTTTGTTTAATAAATAGAACTTTTCTTGTTTTTTGTTAGATCGCATTGTTGCAAGAATAGCTCTTTTGAGATTCCATAGGCACAGTTGAATATTCGCAGCTGGCCAAATACTCCGTACTGCATTTATTTCAGAATAGTCTTTGTCTAAAAAATCATATTTTGATAAGATTCGTCATTAATTTTTGAAAAGTATGCTGCGATTGTTTAGATTTACTATGTTCAATATTTTCTTTCGTAGCTTAAGAAAAAGATATCCCAGAGCAATCCAGATCCGTGAAATTTCACTTATCAGGCCATATAATTCAAATCGTCCGTGTACCGTTTTATATGTTACGTTAATATAAGTTCTTGTACATTTTTAAGCTCATTAATAATTTGTGTTACAAATTCTATCAATTTGACATTTTCTTTCTCTATGTTGAACAGCAAATAGCACCCATAGGTTTCATATTTTTATAATAAGATACGAACCTACTTGAGGTAATTTTCATCTCTTTTACATTCTAATTAACGAGACCCATCAAAAACATAGTGTAGGCTTCTATTGATGTCAAATGCTTTCTTAATTGTAAAGAATTAAAATGTGTATTGTTCTTTAGTTCATCCTTCGTGTTATCAGAAATTTAATGTATAATTTCAAGCGATTATGACATTTATTAAGATGAATATATCCGCAACTTAATTCCAAATCTAGTCGTATTATTAATTCTTTTCCACAATTGTAGCGTTGTATGCATTTCTGTTTGACGGTTTATAAGATTTATAAACTGTTGATTGTAAATATCGATAATAATTTTTTTTGGATGGTTTTGCGAATAGTTGGTCTTCCAATAAATTTATAAATGTATTAAACTCGTATTTTACTTTTTATTGTGCAATCGATGTTAATTTATTCCTACCACTATTTGAACCCGTTTTGTTTTTCAATTTCATTTAAACATAGTATGTTTGTTCATACTTTTTAAGATTGTTTGATTAAGATTAACTTGGACATAAAATTCAAATTTATCACTATTAGTAGATTTCAACTCGTCTAATTTATCTTTGATGAATTGTTTAAAATCTTCAAAATTTAATTCAACTATTAAAGTATTTTTTTAATTTATTTTTGACAAGGCATTTTTTGCATGTTTTTTGGAATTATTATTTTAAATAAATTGGCATATATTTTTGAGTTTCGCGCGAATTGCAATACATTTCCATTCGCATCATCTCTTAAAAGTTTGTAAGGAGTTTATAATACAATTTGATTAACAAATAATCTTACTTCCATGCTTACTTCTAAACTATTTGATTAACGAATCAATTTGATTTGATTTGATTTGGGCACTCTCTACTAGAGGCGTTATGATTTGGCGAGTATATTTTTTCTAAGTACTTTACTGTTTTTCACCAACATTAACACTAACAAATTTATTATTTGTAAGCGTTTCTTTATTATGATCCTTAGCCCTTCTTGACACCACTAAAGATAAGCATTTTCTTATATTTACATGCACTTTTGCAAGAATATAAAAATACTTTATAAATAAAATAATTTTTTATCTAATTTAAAATCAATCGTAATTAAATTTAAAAAAATTAAAATTATTATTAATAAAAATTATTCAGCTAAAAATAAAGCTATTTGTAAACATAATGTAAATGTAATGAAAATATAATGTAAATATCCCCATTAAACCGTCAACTTAACTACGAATCTACTACAATTTCGACTACATTT